CGTATTGTATTTTTGCCTCTTGTACTCGTCATGGTCATGAAATTTTACAAAATATTGCATTTTACTCTTGGTTTGTCTCTGAATAATGCTTAAAGAGTATTGACAAAACATTGAACTATGGATGAGTTTCCACCTAGGGTCTATTAATTCTACTTGAATTATTATGGGTTACAGGAAGTAATAAATTGGATCTCTAGGACTAATATATTTTACTAAACTATTTTCTAGAAAAAGACATCTTATTATAAATAACAGGTCATGTGACACGAATGAATCAATATATTAGATTTTAAAGAATATATCGCAGCATACGTTTCGTAGATTTAACTTGTAAGTACAGTTTCATTGGTCCTATTTTTAAACTCAGGTTTTACTGTAGTTGTTTTTTGTTTTTTTTTGTCCAACGTGTAGTAACAATGTCCTCAGCATATGATCCCGACGTATCAAGTATAACCAAGGAACTCAGGACAAGTGATTTAGAAGTCCAATTCCTAACACGCAAGTTTTTTAAAAAAATCCATTAGTTACTTATCTTCGATTGTTGTAATTTAGATGTACATATATCAAAAGAAGTTAATTGCTGTCGGATAGTTTAGTCGATGTATATTCAGCGTAGAAGTTCATGTTAAAATGCTTTAGCCTAAATGTCCATACAATCTAACAGTCGCCTTCATATGTTTTTATAATCTAATGTTAATACAGTCTAAGTTAGTATCTGTTCAATTAGTCTAATGTAATTGTTCATACACTCTAACAAAGTTAGTTGATGAAAAGATGAAACGTCTAGAGAGATGTGTAGTCTAATGAAACCTGTTATTCAAAAGTTCATTTAATCTATAGATCCATAAAAGAGGGTGGTGTATATTGTTTGGGTTCTATAGCAGTATAGACCTTTTAGGTGTTTGTTTGTATAATGTTGAAACTCTGCGATAACATATAAACGAATTTATGTACTTTTGTAATTTATAACTTGTGTGATTGATCAACTCGAGAAAAAAAAAATCGCCTGTCCGGTTCTTCTCCCTATTAAGTTTGTTACAGTATTAATAATATATATATTATTAATATTATTACACTTTTGAAGAAGGTTATTGTTAACAGCGAGGTTGAAGAAGTTTATTGTTAACAGCGAGGGTACCAAACTACCGTTTCCAATTTATTGTAAGCTAATCATAACTGGTTTTAGTTCATTGATCTTTTAACCTACAAACATTGAGTATTTTTAGTCACGTTGTTGTATAGGAATACGTTTGCTTTAACGTATACTTTAGTATCAGTTTTAATGTTTATATGTAAAGTTATTTGACTTTTGATCAGAGGTTTTTATACCTCTATGGTATAGCTTGGGTTTGCCACTGATTAACACTTTAGTAGTGGGCCTAGTAAGAAGCATCAGCTAGTTAACGCTGGTTTTTTTATTAGATAATGTGTCAAGTGGCCTTGATACCGCTCGTGAGTAGATCAGCACGAAATTCGTGCTGGTTCAGGCCAGTTTTCATGGTTTTGTCCATGGTTGTACGAACTTACAAGCACCTACATCGAAGAAAGTGATTTGATTTATTTACTTGACCGTCATTCTTCGACATTTTGGATTCGTGCTAATTAAGCCCAGAATAACAAAATATATCTCGATCAAAATATCAAAAAATAATATCAAGTGTTTGAAATATCGAGAAAAGTCGTAGAATTTTGTAAATTGTCGAGACTATAATTTAAAAACAACAACAAAGTACCATGTATTAAACAGTAGTCAAAGCTAAAGCCAGCACTTTTCCTACACTAGTCCATTTATAAATCCCACAACCATAACATTTAGCAACAACTTAATTCACTGCGAAAAACGGCTAAAGGATAACAGAATATGTGATGTTTTAACTATAACAAAACAAAACAATATCAATCACTCTTTCAATTCAGTTTTAAGGAAGAAAGGTATCTGATGATCTATCATATGATCTGAATGCAAATGGTTAGTCATACAGCCTAATTAAATGAAAACTCACTAGAGATAGATTTGTATCTATTACAGCTTATGATATTCCACCCCGGTACAAAGTAAGGTTACCACAGAATACCAAGGACAACCTGCATTCAATGCCACATGCTTAAATATGGAGTCTCGACAAGACCCTCGATCACTCCCTTGAAAGAACATTTTCTGGGACATCTTTAATGTCTGGAGTCAGGGGACTGAAGTCTGGTGAATATACAAGTCAACCTTTTCTTCTTCAAGGAATGGTTTAACTGGTTTTGCACAGCGAAGCAGGCATCATCATTCAATAGGCTGAAGTTACGTCAAATTGCACTAGCATTTGGAAGCATAAAGGCTAATAAGATGTGGGCTCTATAAAGCGTGGCATTAATGTTACTCTACTTCAGGATGTAAAAGTAGGTACTTCTACAAGTGCTTATTTCTGCCCGCACCTTTCTTTCACCACTGATATGAACATCACAGTCATATATGAAAATAGGGTTAGATCTGGTTACTATTTCTCTTCAAGTATGTATAAGCCTGCTTTCTGGCAGAAGGACGAAGTTTAAGTCTTGTATAAAAGAAAACAAATGATTATCCCTCATGTTGTTGGTTTACTGAATGTGATTCTGTCATAATTGCAGGCACGATGCTTTGTGCCTTACTGTGAACCGAATACATCTCAGCCAGCCTTGTTAAGTCGTTCTCTAGTCATCCAGTTGCAACTGCAGACATCTGAATCAGCCTAGGAACAAGTATCCCATGCTTGCAGCAAGCCATTATCGACAATTAATACCTACCTCAACACAAGAAATATATGCTCTAGACATCCCTAATTTTGAACTGATAGACTAGAGAGAAGAAAGCTAGTCAACAGCACCCACCGCTAGTCCTAGAGTAACTCTAATCGAATAATGTGAGTTGACCGTTACTCTTATAACGCACCCATGGCTTCAAAGTGCACTTAGTGACTTTTTGTGAGAAAGGGACTCGAACCGTGGACCCCGGAACAAACACTTAGCCACGTCCAGTCCTATTCCTAAAGGGAAGTTCTTAAACAGGTAAAACTAATGGAGGAAAGTATTTTGCTCTAGACAGTAAAAGGTTCCTAGATCCACTAACAGGTAAAACTAAAGAAGGAAATTCCCTTGCTCTAGACAGTAAAAGGTTCCAAATGTGCGTCTGTCCTTTTTTTTAAAGACATGTGTGAGAATGAGCACCTAGTACTTGTTTAATCTAGTTAACCTTGTATCGAACTTCCTTCGCCTCTGGCTATCCTGTTCAGTTATTATGTTGGTGGGTTTTCCAGTACTATCAAGGTTGCTCGCAGCTTCTTGCTATGCTTAATTCTCTATCTCTTCCATTTATTGCCCTATTTCATTTTCAGCTCATAATGGCTCGAGGCCGGTTTGTCACGAGCTTATTCTCATCTTTTAAGTTTTTGTTTTTATGTTTAATGTGTAAGTCATTCCATTTGGGCTATTGTTATTTCTTTTAAAGAGATTAATCACTTGCAAAGCGAAATACCTATGTATTTTAGTTAACTATAGGGGGAACAATATTTCTCTCTATATGACAAAATTATTTGAAAAGAACTAAAGAAATAATGATGAATTATACGACACAGAAAAGGCAATAAGGAAGTGATATTACTGTCAGTATTGGAGTTGAACGTTAGTGTAATTACCAAAGTATAATTCAATGTTTCTTGCACACCATTGATTTAAAAAGATGAAACGTTTGAACCAAAGGTGTGAGTCTTAAAAACTAGAAAATGAAACACGGTGTGTTTGTGGCGTGGAGGTGATATGAAGTATTGACAGAAGAATCATAGCGATTGACAATTTACTTAAACATGATGTACAGTGTGCGTATATATTTTGATATATATATATTTAAAAATATATGTTTATAGATTCTGTTGCTCAGGGGGATAAAACGTCTTTTACGTAAGATTAATGTCTGTGAATTATTTTCAAACTTTTACGTATAATATTCGTAAATTTATGAAAATAATATTATAAGACCAACCCAAGAATTTTTAACTGCCTAAAAACTTATCATTATTATAATATCAGGTTGTGTGAAAAGTCATTCCTCAATGACCGATGTTCCAGAGTTACAATATTTTCTGAACTTTTATTCGTATTGAGAAATTATTATTCTATGACTACAACTATCACATCTCATGTTTGGAAAAGGTGTGCTAAATATAACAGTGTTACGTATTACAATGATAATTTAAATTTAGTAGTTAAATAAATGCCGATATATATGCAATTTATTTGACAACAAGATTGATACACACATTTTTTAAAAATACAAATATATGTTAATACACAAGCAATGATACAATTTACAATAACAGTTATTACAAATAGTTATTACAAACAACGATTTATATAC